TAGCATAGTAATACTCCATTACAGAAAGCGTAAGATCTGCCAATAGCGGACTGAAATTGCCACCTTGTGGGACAGCTTTAGCCTGCTTAAACGTATTATTAGCAAAAAGACAAAACTATTTCGTAAAAGATAGTCGTTAAGGTATTAAATCGCTGGATTTGTAATATCTGTAGTTGCTCTTGAATTCTTTACCATCTGTATAGAAAACATGGTAACCATTAGTGGCAATAAAGGATCTGTTGGCATTCTTGAAGCAAATGTTAAGTTCTTGCATTTTCTTTATAATGAGATCATGTTCTAAATTTGTGAACATGTCCGTGAAATCCGCAGTGTAAATTTTGAGATTGTCGAATGGGATGTTGTGTAGTTCTTGACTTATATTAATATTACTAATAGACCAGTATATCTTGATAGTCCTTAATATAGTGATTTTTGAGATGTGTGAAGACTTTGTTTGTATGAGACATTAATTCATGTGTTATTACTGTTTCAATAGACATATGTGTGGTTGGCAGCAACATAAGAAATGCATTATGTTCAAAACTGGGAAAACCCTGGGAAAGTGGTAGGTAGCATGGGGGCTCGTAATTGAGGATGGAATTAAGAGGTCGTGTTTATCAGGAAATGAACACAACGCGATGGCGTGCCCTGCGGGCAGCGCGGACGGTGCTCAGTACGGGAGCGCACTCCTGGCACTTTGCGAAGTCTTGTAATTGCGCTTTATAATACAATTAAAACGCAACTTCCTGATGCGGATAACATTTGAGGTTGCTCATGCTGCAAAGTCCGAATCGAAGGCGATGACGAGGGCCAGAACTCAAGAACCACTGTACTGCTTCTGCAGTCTCGAAAGCCGCGCATTCCAACCAGACATGAAAATAAAATTGGCCTAAGTACCCTACGTCAATTCGAAGTTTTCTTATGGCTTTGGAGAGGGAATCGCGCCGAATTGCTAACATACACTTTGGTTCTCAAGTAATTTACACTGACTTGCATTTTTTATTCACATTTCATTCATATCTACACCAGTTTGGTTGACGCGCATGATTCAGTCTGTGGTCCTGATCACTGACAGGATTTCCGTGCTGACCCCTAACACTTGGCCTAATTCCCATGTTTCAAATTCAGCCCATTTCATCATATTTCTCCTCTTTAATGAGCATTTGCCAATGTCTGGTGCTTATCACATTTCTAAAAACACAGACCATTCGTTGGGAATAGAAGCAGCTTAGCGGTTGAAAGAGTTTCGATGGTAACAATATCGAAATCATAGTGAAATGTGTTTACATCCTAGTACTTCCGTTGAGCAGCTTTCACATATCCGTCTGTTGGTGGCTCTTATCGTTCCCCACAGGCTAAAATTTTAGGCTTTTACTTTTTGTCGAAAATCGAGTGTTTAGCGGTCGAATCAATTCCGCTATAAAACAAAGGACTATAACATAAACATCTCAGCTTACTGAGCCTTTGCCCATTGATTCCATGGGCCACGGTGGTCAACATCAGTCGCAAGCGGAGTAAAGCTGCGAACAGATACTGACCCTTGTCGTACACTATATCACAACTTATCTCCCACCACCAATGTTCCCTAACCACCTCTGAATTGCTTACTGGAAGAAGTTCCCCAGTGTGCTACAACTCGTGCATTGAATTTTGTGGCTTCCTCTCTGAAGTGGCCCCTATGGTATCTTATCAGCTGTTGTTATGCCCTGCCACCCACCAATAATGTTTCCATCCTGCCCCTATCTTACTTCTTGGAACAACGATTCGTCTTTGCTCTGGCAGGCGTTATGAATTAGGTAACCACGCCTTCTGAGGCTCCTTATGGTATCTTATCAGCTCTTATCACTTCCTGCCACCTACCAATAGTGTTCCTGCCCGACCTCCTACATCACTTATCAGTTTGAGCGCACAATCGCTGTTTTGAAGGAAGTTATGAATTTCCGGTCAAACACACATACAGACACACACACACACACACACACACACACACACACACACACACACACACACACACACACACACACACACCAACAGACAAACTTAGCGGATTATATATAGTAGGATTAGTTGCTCTCAATTCTAGCCTTCGTCATCTTCATCATCTTCGATTCGGATTTCGCAGCATGAGCAACACCTCGAATGTCCGCATCAGGAGTTTGCGTTCTAATTGTATTCGAAAGCGCAATTACAAAACTTGGCAAAGTGCCAGGAGCGCTGCGCGTACGGCGGTCAAATAAATGCGAGCGGGATTGCAGCAGTGTTCAGCATGTCTCCGCTTGCATTTTAGGCGGAGTATGGAGGGACTAGCCTATCCCACGGTCCTGGATCGCCATGCCCGCGCATGTTCGAACGCGGAAATCGGTACGCTTCGACAGCTGGGGCTCGTAAGCCACGGACATACCAAGGACGCACGAGCGTACGTTGCGTCTTTGATGGGAGTTACTGCTTTTCTGCACTGTCCCCTTTTGAGTTGACAGGACAATTTATGGATTGCTTGTAAGAACGGCAACCAGTTACACAAAGCTAGGGAGTAGTTTTATAATACATCATCGGCACTGAATGCAACTTTACTGTGCCTGATGAGGGGAAGCTTCATCGCTTCTTGAATTGGTCGTACATTGATCTGTACGTGCTTCCAGCAGGGACACCCCGCACAGAACACCGCTGCCGTCAATTCTCCTGAATTGCTTGCACCAAGAAGGACTTTCTTCGTAGACAGGTGTGCTACTAGCCAGAACCACGCTCACTTTTGCTATCTGAAATGCGATTGAATCTACTGTTTTCGTAGGATAGTACTGTTTAACGCCGCAGTTCGCGCTCCAAAAGTAAGCACAAGAATGCCGAGCTACGGGTAAAGGCTAGATCTCTGACGGGACTGGAATCTGCACCTTACGGGCGTATGCGCTGTCCTTTACGTCATCCGAGGCCGTTCATCCTTCGCAGCTCAGTGGCTTTTGTGTCATAGCCTCCAGGCACTCACACATGTGATGGATCGGCTAGTCGATTTGAGAAGTGAAACTGCGAGACTGAAGGCTCTATGTGCATCATTTCGAAATTGTTTCAGAACAATAACTGCTAATCAACTCGCAGTTAGTGCTCCGAAAGTTATCACATGAATGCTAATTTATGGGCAGCAGTCCTCCTCAGTCAGAGCAGCTTTTGCCACCAAGTGAGGTGGGCTCAGGAAAGCATCGATATGTGAAAAGATCGCCTTCCTATCCACACCCATTCACACGCCTTCTCGTTTGTAGAACTAATGACTATGTGCAAACCTCACCTGATGAGATCAAGCAATGCATCCTTCGTTGTTATGTTCTGGGCACTTTCTGCTGCTGTTTTCGACGATGCTTTGATATCGGGATTCCCCGGATGAATTAGAGTTACAAGACTGATTCCGACCTTCAATAGGAATAAGAGATATCGGGTTAAAGACACATGGTACGATCACACATAGTTTGGGTGTGCGTGACTATCAGCCCCCAGCTGTCGAAGCGTAGCGGTTTCCCGTCCTAACATGCGCAGGAATGGAGATACAGGACCGTGAAACGCCCTAATTCCTCCACCTTTTGCGGCGCAGATCCTGTTTATGCTAACAGCCGTCCGCGCGGCGCGTGTCGCGCGCAGCGCTCTTGGCACTTTGCCAAGTCCTGTAATTGCGCTTTGGAATACAAGTAAAACGCAATTTCCTGATGCGGATAACATTTTAGGTGCTGCAAAATAAGAACCGAAGATGATGACGAGGGCCAGAACTCAAGAGCAACTGTGCTGCAATATCCCTCGGAGGCCGCGCATTCCCACAAAACATGAAAATAAAAACGGCCTAAGCGTCCCACTCGTTAGTTCAAAGTATTTTTATGGCTTTGGAGCCGGAATCGCGCCGAATTGCAGAAATTTACAC